GCTCTTAGGTTTCCCTAGACAGCTTTACACCTACAGCTTCTGTTGGAGACTATCTGCTCTGTTGAAACCTAAGTGGTGGCCCTTATGACCTGTGCATTGACTCAGGGATCCTCCCTCTTTTAAATGACAGCACATATTTGCAGCCTTCCTTCATTCCATTGCACTTCCTATGTTCCTTTCATTCTAGCTGGCTGTGTTTTTGCTGGAATAGTTCCATTTCTTCTCCAGGCTTGTGTTGAGATGGCTGATTAAGTCCATGGATCACACTCACACTAATTGTTTTACCAATGGTAGCTCCATGACCTTTTGAGTGTTCTTGTTCTGCCAATATGCTCTCTCATTTTCATTATATAGACAGGCTTGAGAATACCAAAAATATTTAAATTTTGGTTTATTACTGCTTGTTATTCCATCTTCAATTTATTTCTATCTATAAGCAGACAGTAGGGACTAAGCAGCTCCTACAACATTTTGCTTAGAAATCTCACTGACAGTGTGCCTGAACCTAAGCTTGAGAGCCACCACAACAAACTAGTTTGCATCATGTCCTGTGTTTACCTATAAACCAGAATCCAGCTCCTTAGCTGCTCCACAAGTGTCTACACTTTACACATCATTACTAAAATGGCACCTGCATCCTGGAACCGTGTCAGTACTGACCCAAACACCAGAGCCTATTCCCTCCATGCATGCTTATACTCATACTGAAGCTCCATGGCTATGCATTAGATGCCACTGCCACCATGAGCATGTCCACAAGCAGACCCATTACTTAGAGAATCTCCTTGGCCACGATTTCCCCAAAGACAACAAGAGACCCCAAAAGCCTTTGCTACTAAAGAATCCAATAACCTGAACTGCTAAGGCAGACATTCACTACCATAGCCACTGAGGATCATTGTGAATCTTCTCCAGTACCAACCTCATTTGACAGAGCTGTATGGAGACTACACTGCTGTGCCCTTACTGGAGCCAGAAACATTCACACTCCACTCAGTCAGCACCCTGACACTCACCTGTAGAGTAAGGCCTTTCCTCACCAAAACCAAAACATAAAGTCTGGAAAGGTATTTGCTCTGCAGATATGCAGACATCAACTCAAGGAAACAAAAAATATAAAAAGCCAAAGAACAGCAGCACACACCAAAATAACACAATGCTTTTCTAGTAATAAACCCTAATGAAATGGAGATCTAGACAGTACCTGACAAAAAAAGAAAATTATATAATTGTGTTAAGAAAGCTCAGTGAACTGAAAAAGAATAATGAGAGACAAGTCAATGAAATCAGTTAAACAATAAATGAACAAGAGAATTTCAACAAAAGATTGAAATCATTATTAAAAAATCAAATATTAGCCACTGTGGAGAATAATATGGAGGTTCCTCAAAGACCCACAAATAGAACTACCATATGATCCAGCAATTCCACTAATACCAAAGGATAGTAAAAAGCTCAGTTGAAAAAGTGCTTCTACATCTATGTTCATTGTGGTATTATTCACAATTCTTCAGACATGGAACCAACTGAAATGTCCATGAACAGATGAAAGGATATAAAAAAGTGGGTAATTGTCTGTTGAGGATAATATGCATACTATTCTCAATTGGACTGGTGAGAAATGTATACATGTTGGAATATTCACTTTATAAGTTAAGTGACATATGTGATTAAATGTATAAAAAAAAATAAGAAATATAAATGACAAAAAGAAAAAGTATGGTGTGTACACACTGAAACACTACTCAGCCATTAAAAAAAAAATCCAACAAGATCCTGGCATTTAATAGAAAGTGGATGAACATGAAAGATTTACTGCTGAGTGAAGCAAGCCAGGCAGGCTATGGAAGACAGACATGGTATGTCTCCACTCAATATATACCAGCCATTCACACTCTATGGTGTGGAAATTGAAAGAATAGAGGATACAGAAGCATGGGAAATGGTTAAGGACACTGGAGACACTTGGGAAGCAGGTGGGAGAAGGGGAAAAGAGAGAGGAAAGGAATCAAGGAGAAAAATAGAGACAAAACATTTGAAGGACACAGAAATGGAGAATTGTCTGTTGATAATAATCTGTATGATATCTTCAACTGGACTAATGGGAAGTGTGTTCACGTTAAGTAAATCCATTTTACAACTGCAGTGATGTACAGTAATTGAATGTATAAAATTAAAATTAAATTAAATTTGAAAAGAGTCAAATAGAAATTCTAGAACAGAAGACTGCAATGAATTAATTGAAAAATGTCACAGAAAGCATCAACAGTAGACCCGATAAGCAGAAGAAAGAATTTATGCACTTGAAGACAAATTATTTAAAAATATACAGCTGTAAGGGAATTAGGGGGAAGAAAGAATGAAAGGGAACAAAGAAAACTTTATGATTTATGGGACAGCATCAGCAGAACTAACAGTCACATTATAGACTTAGAAAAATATAAGAGTGTGAGACCAGCAGTTAGTATAATGGCTATGTCGCTGAACTCCCATATAGTTGACCATGGTTCGAGTCCCAGACCCAGTGGCTTAAACTCACACCAGGTGCATGTTCGTGTATGCCCAAGATCCTGAGGAGAATGGAGGAGAAGGGATTGAGGCATGGCCATCCCCCCCTGGGGGGATTTCTCACTTTCTGTCTCTGTCTCTCTGGCAAGCACACACACCTTGTAGCAAAAAAACTCTCAAAAAAAAAAAAAAAAGAAAGAAAAAGAAAGAAAGAAAAATACAAGAGTATAATGGAGAGAAATCATAACTGAAAATTCCCAAGTCTAGGGAGAGACATAAATACCCAGGTTTAAAGAAAATATAGTGTAATGGAGAGACATCATGACTAAAAATTCCCAAATCTAGAGAAAGATATAAAGAAAAGTATATAAAGAAAGACATAAATATCCAGCTTAAAAAAAATCTGTCGAAGTTTTCTTGACAGATTCAATTTAAAGAAGACTATAGAAAGACATATTGTTATCAAACTGTCAAAATTCAAAAACAAAGAGAAATTTTGAAAGCAGCAAGAGAAAAAATGGATCGTCACATAAAAAGGAACCTCTGTAAGGCTATTGTCAATTTTGCCAGCAGATGCTTTATAAACCAGGAGAGAATTAGATGATATATTCAACAGGATGAAAGAAAGAAAAAAAAAAAAAAAAGACCTGTGAACCAAGAATATTCTACCCAACAAAGCTGTCTTTCAGAAATGAAGGAGAGATGAAGACTTTCCAATATAAACCAAATTTTAGGCAGCTTATCACCACTAGAGTTGTCTTATGAGAAAAGTCAAAGAAAGTTCTTCATGCTGAAACAAAAAAGATGCTGGGACCAGCAGGCGGCATGATGGTTAAGTACACTGGATTTGGATTCCCACATGACTGACTATACCACAAGTCCCAGACCTGGCATTTTTCACTTTTCCTCTCTCACTCTCTCTCACTTTATCCTTCTCTGGTCAAATTAAAATAAATAAATAAATAAAGTTAAATAAAATAATTATTTAAAAAGTAACTTTAGAAAAAGTTACTAACTTGGAAACATGTGAAAGGATAAAACTCACTAGTAAAAGTAAGTGCATAGTTAAATTTAGAATACTCTAATGCTGTGATAGTAATATGTAGAGCATTTAGATCTCTAGTATAAATGTTAAAAGACAAAATAATCAGTCTTGGTCTCAGTAGTACAGCTGGTAGCATATTGACCTTCAGTGCTGGATGTTACATGGGTGACCACAATTCATCTCTGCCTAGTAGACCTGAAACACACTGGGCACATGTGCACACTTTGTGGGAGGTGTAGGGAGAATGCAACATGATAAGATCCTGTCAAAGATGTTTCTATTTCTCTGTCTTTCTTTTTCTATTTCTCTCTCTCATACACATGTATGTTCTCTATCATGAATAAGAAGAGTAAACTTAAAAATATGTATCTTGAAGTATACACAATATAAATAAATGTAAATTGTGACATTAAAAAAACATAAAATAGGTGTGGGGGATAGAAATGTAGAATTTTTGTATGTAATAGAAATTAAGTTGTTATCAGCTTAAAATAGTTTCCTACAACTATAGGATTTTTTGGTAAAGTTCATGGAAAGCATAAGACAAAAATCTACAGGAGGTGTAACAAAGATAAAGAATCAAAGCACACCACTATGAAACGTCAACAAATTACATAGAAGAGAGTAAAAGAGGGAGAAATGAATGAAAGATATTTAAAACAAGCAGGAAAAAATTAATAAAATGACACTAGTAAATTCTTACCTACCAATAATGACTTTGAATAAAAATGCATTAAACTTTTAATTTGAAAGACATAAACTGGATGAATAGGTTTTTTAAAAGTAAATCTTAACTATATGCTGCCTATTAAAGAGTCACTTCATCTCTAAGAACTCACATAGCCAAAAAACAATTCCATGCAAGATGAAACTCAGAGTGGGAGTAGCTTTATTTATATCAGATAAAATAGACTTAAAGGGTGGTGGCCCTGCATTAGGTACTGTGACAGTACATGGGGAACTGCTGTGGTGGCTACAGGTCTGATGGAAAACTACTAAATTTCCTGTGGAAGCAAAGTAAAAGTTCATAAAAACAGAATGAATGGAGAGTAGAAAACTATGATATCTGTGAAGGCCCTGATGCCATGTATATCAAACTGATATCTTCTGATAGTCACGAATTTACTGTAAAAAGAGAACATGCACTAACATCAGAAAATATAAAAGCCATGTTAAATGGCCCAGGTCAGCTGGCTGAGAATGAAACCAATGAGGTCAATTTTAGAGAGATTTCTTCACATGTACTATCAAAAGTATGCATGTATTTTACCTACAAGGTTCGCTATACTAACAGCTAAACCGAGATTTCTAAATTCCCAATTACACCTGAAATTGCACTGGAATTACTGATGGCTAAGAAAGTTCTAGATTGTTAAATAAAATAAATTATGATAAACTGTTAAAAAATATACTTATGGTCAAATACCATAAAAAGAGACAAAGAGGAGTGCTTGCTTTGGCAGCACATATACTAAAATTGTAACAATACAGAGAAGACTAGCATGGCCCCTGTGCAAGGATGACATGCACATTCATGAAGTGTTCCATACCTTTTAAAAATCAGAGAAGAGCCTCAAGGATGAGAGAATCAAATAATATATCTCCCACAAGGGAACATTGTAACTCATTTTCATGTACGGAAAAATTAGAGGATATTACCAAAATGTCAGGAAAAGTTTAGAATATTTATCATAACAAAACTCCATTAGGTGCAAGAAAAAAGAGACATTGAACTCAAAAAGGTGAGGAAGTCCTTCCACGATATGAAAGAACAACTGGACATCATAAAAAAGTATCAAACAAAATTGTTAGATATAAAGGCTATAATACAGGAAATCAAAACCTCCCTCAAAATTATTAAAATCAGGTTAGACCATGCAAAAGATTGAATCTCAAAAGTAGAAGACAAACCTCTAACCTAGAAAAAATTATCAAACATACTGAGAAAACAGTGAACAAAACTAAGGATACTATATGAGAAATACAAGATACCATTAAAAAAAAAAAGATAAGTGTTGGCAAGGGTGTGGTGAAAGGGGAACTCTTTTACACTGCTAGTGGGAATGTAAATTGGTCCAGACACTATGGAGAACAATTTGGAGATTCCTCAAAAATCTACAAATGGAACTACTATATGATCCAGCAATCCCATTCCTTGGTATCTACACAAAGGACAAAAGAATTCTTCATTGGAAAAGTGCTTGCACATCGATGTTTATTGCAGCACTATTCACTATTGCTAAGACATGGAACCAACCCAAATGTTCCCGTATGGATGAATGGATTGAAAAACTGTGGCACATATACTCTATGGAATAGTATTCAGCCATTAAAAAAAAAAAAAGAAACAACCTGGCTTTTGGCAGGAAGTAGGAGAATATGGAAGATTTACTGCTGAGTGAAGCAAGCCAGGCTATGAAGGAGAGATATTGTATGTCCCCACTTAATATATACCTAGTGTCTGCACTCGATGATCGAAACTGATTGACTAAAAGATATATAAACACAAGAGATGGAGGTGAATGCCAGATGTGGTGTGTTTGGAGGAGTAGGGCCTAGGGAAGGGCATTTGGAGGAAGAATACAGAGGCAGAGCATTGATGGGACGGGGAGGTGTGGTGTTATCTGTTGAAGATATTTTGATCAACTGGACTGGGGAGAAACGTTCACATACTGAAATGTTCATTTCATAAGCTAAACAATGTCATTGAATGTATTTAAAAATAAATAAATAAATAAAATGCCCAAATATTCAAATGATTGGTATTCCAAAAGGTGAAGAAACTAATAAGGGCATTGATAATCTAGTCCACAAAATCCTAGAAAAAAACTTTCCAAGTCTAAGAGGCACTCAAACATTCAGACCCAAGAAATACAAAGAAACACAAATAGAATCAATCCCAGATGATTCTCTTCTGGGCACATCATAGCCAGATTGTCCAAAACCACAGACAAAGACAAGATACTAAGATTGGCAACAGAGAAATGTCAAGTCATTTACAAAGGCTATCCAATCAGGCTAACACCAGACCTCTCATCAAATACAATGCAAACAAGGAAAGAATGGAAAAATAAATTAAAAGTGTTAAATGAAAAACAATTTCAGGAACAAGCAATTAGTGTAATGGCTATGTTGCTGGACTCCCACGTAGTCGACCGCGGTTCGCGTCCCAGACCCGGTGGCTTAAAACTCACGCAGGGCGCGTGTGCGTGCATGCCCAAGATCCTGAGAGGAGAATGGAGGAGAAAGGATTGTGGCGTGCCCCCCTCCTTGGGGAGTGATTTCTTGCTTTCTGTCTCTATGTCTCTCTCTGTCTGTCTGGCGAGCGCACGCACCCTATAGCGAAAACCTCTCCAAAAAAAAAAAAAATTTCAACCAAGAATATTATACCCAGCAAGATTATCCTTCATATGGAAAAAGAAGATAAAAATGCTCTCAGATAAACAAAACCTGAAAGAATTTACCAATTCTAGATCCGTTATACAGGAAATTCTGAAAGGAGTACTATACCAAGAAAACTAAAGAGAGACAGACAGCAATAAGAGAATAAAAAATAACCAAGAAGATGATCAACTTAATGGTAGGGACAAGTATGGAAATACCAATAATAACATTGAATATTAATGAATTAAGTTCTCGAATTAAGAGAGTGATTGGCTGAATAGATTAAAATTCAGAAACCCTCCATCTGCTGCCTATAAGAAACCCATCACATGGATAAAGACATATATAGATTAAAAGTGAAGGGTTGGAAAAATGTATACATGCCAATGGAAACCAAAGAGAGTGGGAGTCACTATACTGATTTTGAGCAAAATAAACTTTAAGACAAAACCTGTAAGAGGAAACAAAGAAGGCAATTATATAGTAGTAAAAGGGCTAATTCATCAAGAAGATATAATGCTTATAAATATCTATGCTTATAAATATCCAACTCAAGAGCACCCAAACATGTAAAGGAAAGACTGCTAGATCTAAAAGGAGAGATAGAGTAAAAGACTAATTTTTGGAGATCTCAACACCTCATTACCTTCTTTAGAAAGATCAATGAGACAAAAAATAAGCAAAGAGATTCAGGACCTAAATGACATCATAAATCAGATGGACTTGACAGACATCTATAGAACTTTCTACCACTCCCCCCAAAAAACAAAATATACATTTCTCTCAGCCCCACAGGTTACTGTCTTGAAGACTGACAATATGATAGGGCACAAAACCAGCCTTTACACATTAAAAGGCATAGAGACTATCTAGCATCTTACCAAACCATGGTGGAATTATAATTGATGAAGAAACTTTTGAAAATACACAAATACAGGGAAATTAAATAACCTAATTCTGAATGATTTCTTGTCTACCAAAGAGATTAAGACTGAAGTCAAAAGAATCATGGAAACAAATAATAATGAGTACAAGAGTTTCCATAATTTATGAGACACTGCCAAAGCAGTCGTAAGAGGAAAGTTCATAGCAATTAATGAACATAAGAAAAAGATGGAAAGGTGACAAAAGGACAACCCAACATCATGGCTCAGGGAATTGTAAAAACAACAAAACAAAAAAAAATAAATCCAAAAAAATTTCAGGAGAAAAGGAATAATAAGGATTCAAGCAGAAATAAATGAAATAGAAAATAAACAAACTATACAGAAAATAAATGAAAGCAAAGCTGGTTCTTTGAAAAGATAAACAGGATTGACACACCATTAGCTAGACTAATTAAGAAGAGAGAAAAGAACCAGATAAATCAAATTAGCAACAAATGAGGCAACATTACAACAGGCATAATAGAAATACAAAACATCATTAGAGGATATTATGAGCAACTATACGCCAACACACAAGAAAATCTGGATGAGATAAACAAATTCCTGGACACACATAATCTGTCAAGATTGATTCAGGAGGACATAGGAAGCCTGAATAGACCCGTAACAAGCAATGAAATTGAGTCAGTAATAAATAACTTCCCAGCAAAGAAAAGTCCATGTCCTGATGGCTTTACTGCTGAATTCTACAAAACTTTTAAAGAAGAGGTAACTCCCATTCTACTCACACTGTTTCTAGAAACTAAAAAGGAAGAAACCCTTCCACATTCATCCTATGAAGCCTCCATCACCCTCATCCCCAAAATGGATAAGGATACGAAAAAAGGAAAACTACAAACCTCTATCTCTGATGAATATAGATGCAAAAAGTCTCAATAAGATACTTGCTAACCATATTCAACAACATATAAAAAAGAGTATTCATCACAACTAGGTTAGCTTTATTCCAGGGATGCATACATACACAAAACCATAAATGTAATACATCATATCAACAGAAAGAAAGATAAAAGCCACATTATCATCTAAATTGATGCGAAAAGAGTATTTTTTTGGAGAGTTTTTTTTTTTCGCTATAGGGCACGTGCACTCGCCAGACAGACAGAGACATAGAGACAGAAAGCGAGAAATCACCCCCCCAGGGGGATGGTCACGCCGCAATCCCTTCTCCTCCATTCTCCTCTCGGGATCTTGGGCACGAACGCACACATGCCCAGCGTGATTTTTAAGCCACTGGATCCAGGACGCAAACCACGATCAATTACATGGGAGTCCAGCGACATAGCCATTACACTAACTGCTGGTTCCCAAGAGCATTTGATAAAATACAACATTCCTTTATTATTAAGACTATCAGGAAAATTGGCTTAGAAGGATAATTTCTCAGCATAATAAAAGACATCTATGAAAATTCTTTAGCTAACATTATACTGAATGAGGAAAAGCTAAGAGCTTTTCCACTAAAAACGTACAAGACAAGCCTGCCCACTCTCTCCATTCCTATTCAGTATGGTACTAGAAGTCCTAACCAATGCAATCAGACATAGTGAAAGAAAAGTTAAAATTATCTCTGTTTGCAGATGACATGCTTGTATACATAGAAGACCTAGTAGTGTCTACAAAAAAACTTCTTGAAGTAATAAATGAATACAGTAAAGTGGCAAGAAAAAAATTAACTTAGAAAATTCTATAGCATTTCTATATACAAACAACAAACAGAAAGAGACAAAACTGAATAAAACCCCATTTACCATAGAATTTGTCTGGAATTATAAAAGGCTCTATATTGCCAAAACCATCCTGTGCAAGAAGAGTGGAGTGGGTGGTATCTCTCTCTTCCTGACCCCAAAATATATTACAAAGCTGTGAGAATCAAAACAGCATGGTATTGGCACAAAAACAGACATGAAGACCAATGGAACAGAGCAGAGATCCCATAAATAAACCCCCAAACATACTACCAACTGACCTTTGACAAAGGGTACCAGTGAATCCAGTGGAAAAAGGAAAACTTTGTTAGCAAATGGTGCTGGAAAAACTGAGTGTCCACCTGCAGAAAGATGAATCTGAACCCATATCTATCACTATTTTAAAAAATCAACACAAAGCGGATCATATATCTAGGCCTAAGGGAACCAGCAGTTAGCGTAATGGCTATGTCACTGGACTCCCACGTAGTCGACCGCAGTTCACATCCTGGACCCAGTGGCTTAAAACTCACGC